TCAACTTAAATATTTTAGTTTTCAAAACTGTTCCAGGTGCAAGTAGTTCAAACTCTTAGCTTTAAAATGGCTACTTGCACATCTCCATATGATTTTTCTACAATTTATGGTGATTTTTACAAAACTGCCTATCATTTCAGAGGCAAACCCGGACCAGTCTGTGATTATGAACATTTTCACCTCTGTTAGAGATCACTAAAAATCATGATAAAATTTACTAACAAACTAGACTCATATTCCAAACTCTCAGAATTTGCGGATTTGGATTTAGAGCTTTGATGATTTTTCTATAATTTTCTAAGAACAGTAACAGAAACTGTATACAACAAAAAGTTGCTGTCAATTTCATTTCACCTTGTAACATGTTGAGCAAGGTGTATATCTTTATGTGATTATATGTTATTGCAATATATGACATTTTATCTTAATATTTAGACACACATCAGTTTACAAATGGATTTGGACATATAAAATATAAAGAATAACAAGTGATTATAATCAAAATACAACCGATACATTCAAACATTTAATAAACTATTTTGAATATAGTTTGCATACATTACTACGTACTACCCTTGGTTGATAAACTATAATAGGTATAGTTTATGATACATTACATAACACATACATTTAAAAAGGGTACATTTATACAAAGGATATTTTCATTAAGCAAGGTACGGCCATACGGTACCAAGTTTTCATAACACGTAATTCCGTTAATGACTTTATGAAACATTACATAACACATACATTTAAAAAGGGTACATTTATACAAAGGATATTTTCATTAAGCAAGGTACGGCCATACGGTACCAAGTTTTCATTACACTACACGTAAATTCGTTAATGAATTCTGTGAGACATTCGATTCAATTTACAAATAAGTCCTGTATTATAACCAGAGTCTCCTCGAGGGAGAGCGTGATACTTGTGTATAGATCTATATTGGGTCTGACAAACCCACACCTTAGCTGCATGCAACAGCTAGACCGACAGGTCTGGGGTGACAAATGTCATAACATTTCCGACGCCTGAAGAACGTCGTTTCAGGCCAACTAGGTCATAGCATGGTTATAATAACTCACATGTGGTATTAACAAGCATAGAATTTATGGGGATTTCACTAAAATCAAACGAGTTTATGTCGATTTAAACTTGCATTGTTTTACTATAAGGAACGAACACTACTTGTACATTTCGGTCTTTGGGTTTTAAGACTACATTTACACATTAAGGAAAATATTGGATTTTCTAGAACGAACACTACTTTTATAAGAAAAGGCTTTCATAAACTCACATTAAATATAAACAAACATAGAATTTACGGGGATTTCACTAAAATCAAACGAGTTTATGTCGATTTAAACTTGCATTGTTTTACTATAAGGAACGAACACTACTTGTACATTTCGGTCTTTGGGTTTTAAGACTACATTTACACATTAAGGAAAATATTGGATTTTCTGGAACGAACACTACTTTTACAAGAAAATGCTTTAATAAACTCACATAAACTATTAATGAATATTGGAATTTACGGGAACTTCATTAAAATTAAACGAGTTTATGTCGATTTAAACTTACATTATTTATTATAAGTAAGAAAAGTTACTTATACATTTCGGTCTTTGGATTTAAGACTACATATACATTTTAAGGAAAATATTGGATTTTTCTAAAACAAATACTACTTTTACAAACGAAAGGCTTTTAATAATACCAAACAAAAGCTTATGAACTCACATAAGGTGAGTTCATACCCCTACATTTACATGTTTTTCGTAAGTTTTAAGGGGGGAATACAAGTAAAATCATCAAGAACACAATTAAACGTTTTCTATCAGATTACATCAAAAAAGATGAACTTCGATCACGGACTGTTTTGGTCAACTTAAATATTTTAGTTTTCAAAACTGTTCCAGGTGCAAGTAGTTCAAACTCTTAGCTTTAAAATGGCTACTTGCACATCTCCATATGATTTTTCTACAATTTATGGTGATTTTTACAAAACTGCCTATCATTTCAGAGGCAAACCCGGACCAGTCTGTGATTATGAACATTTTCACCTCTGTTAGAGATCACTAAAAATCATGATAAAATTTACTAACAAACTAGACTCATATTCCAAACTCTCAGAATTTGCGGATTTGGATTTAGAGCTTTGATGATTTTTCTATAAATTTTCTAAGAACAGTAACAGAAACTGTATACAACAAAAAGTTGCTGTCAATTTCATTTCACCTTGTAACATGTTGAGCAAGGTGTATATCTTTATGTGATTATATGTTATTGCAATATATGACATTTTATCTTAATATTTAGACACACATCAGTTTACAAATGGATTTGGACATATAAAATATAAAGAATAACAAGTGATTATAATCAAAATACAACCGATACATTCAAACATTTAATAAACTATTTTGAATATAGTTTGCATACATTACTACGTACTACCCTTGGTTGATAAACTATAATAGGTATAGTTTATGATACATTACATAATACATACATTTAAAAAGGGTACATTTATACAAAGGATATTTTCATTAAGCAAGGTACGGCCCATACGGTACCAAGTTTTCATAACACGTAATTCCGTTAATGACTTTATGAAACATTACATAACACATACATTTAAAAAGGGTACATTTATACAAAGGATATTTTCATTAAGCAAGGTACGGCCATACGGTACCAAGTTTTCATTACACTACACGTAAATTCGTTAATGACTTATGTGAGACATTCGATTCAATTTACAAATAAGTCATGTATTATAACCAGAGTCTCCTCGAGGGAGAGCGTGATACTTGTGTATAGATCTATATTGGGTCTGACAAACCCACACCTTAGCTGCATGCAACAGCTAGACCGACAGGTCTGGGGTGACAAATGTCATAACATTTCCGACGCCTGAAGAACGTCGTTTCAGGCCAACTAGGTCATAGCATGGTTATAATAACTCACATGTGGTATTAACAAACATAGAATTTACGGGGATTTCACTAAAATCAAACGAGTTTATGTCGATTTAAACTTGCATTGTTTTACTATAAGGAACGAACACTACTTGTACATTTCGGTCTTTGGGTTTTAAGACTACATTTACACATTATGGAAAATATTGGATTTTCTGGAACGAACACTACTTTTACAAGAAAAGGCTTTCATAAACTCACATTAAATATAAACAAACATAGAATTTACGGGGATTTCACTAAAATCAAACGAGTTTATGTCGATTTAAACTTGCATTGTTTTACTATAAGGAACGAACACTACTTGTACATTTCGGTCTTTGGGTTTTAAGACTACATTTACACATTAAGGAAAATATCCTTTGTATAAATGTACCCTTTTTAAATGTATGTGTTATGTAATGTTTCATAAAGTCATTAACGGAATTACGTGTTATGAAAACTTGGTACCGTATGGCCGTACCTTGCTTAATGAAAATATCCTTTGTATAAATGTACCCTTTTTAAATGTATGTATTGGATTTTCTGGAACGAACACTACTTTTACAAGAAAAGGCTTTAATAAACTCACATAAAGTATTAATGAATATTAGAATTTACGGGAACTTCATTAAAATTAAACGAGTTTATGTCGATTTAAACTTACATTATTTATTATAAGTAAGAAAAGTTACTTATACATTTCGGTCTTTGGATTTAAGACTACATATACATTTTAAGGAAAATATTGGATTTTTCTAAAACAACTACTAATTTTACAAACGAAAGGCTTTTAATAATACCAAACAAAAGCTTATGAACTCACCAACCTTTGTGTTGACACTTTTTCAAACAACTTGTATTCTCAGGAAATCATTAAACAGGTAACCAAGTGCTTTTGAGGATGGGACTCTAAGGCGTCTACTATTTCATATTTTGTCAACATATTGTAATTGATTCGTAAACATGTAATTCATACAATGATGTAACTTTTTCAATTATATATATGTTGGTTGTGTTTGCTTGAATTACTATTACAATTGTTGTTATGATACTATACATGAAGTCCTCCACCCCCGGACATTTCCGCCATCCTTGGTTTGGGGGTGTGACACATTTGAATTGAATGTGGATAACAAGTCTGTTAGGAATCGAGACAGGGTACACGCAACGGAAACACTATCACACACTCACAAACGAAACGAGAAAATAAAGCAATAAAGAACACAAGGATTTTACGTGGTTCGGATTCGGTGCAAATCCTACGTCCACGGGCTGCAACTAGAGAATTTTATTAAAACTCACAAGATTACAATTGGCTTGACACTCTACATTTGATGTTCTCTCAAGTTTTTGCACACAAAATATGCAAAACATACATGCATATATATAGGTATATTTGTGAGCCGCAATATGCACAAGATTGCCGCAAAGATTGAAAAATGCGTAGATTTTTCTTTAGCCGTCCATTGATTATTCCACCGAAAGTTCGCGTCCAATTCAAATGTTCAATTGTTGCGTTCACATTAGAGATAGTGACAATAAATATTAAACAATTGATTCCACCGTCCATTCAACAATTCAATTGTTTTAATTTCCAAGTTTCATTTATGGCCCTTGAACTCTTAGGAACTTGTCAATTTGTTCATGACTCCATAAATCTTAACAAAGTCAGCTTTGGATTTGATGAAAAATCCAGTCTTTCATGGAAGAAGTAAACATATTGATACAAGATATCACTTCATTCGTGATCATATAGAAAGAGGCAATGTTATAGTAAAGCATGTGAATACTAATGAGTAGAAAGCTGACATCTTGACCAAGCCTATGAACAAAGTGAAGTTTGAAAGCATGAGAAAGTTGCTTGGAGTTGAAGAGATAAGAGTTTCTGAATTACAGGGGAGAATGTAAATGTAATTCAGAATATTGAAAGTTTGTATATAAGTCTAATTAGGAATTAGGAAGTTTTGCTTGGTCAACAAGTCTAGGAAAAGTAGAGGTCACGTTTTTTTGTTTCCTATATATAGGTGTAATTATTTACTTTTTTCTTTGATGAAGAACTTGAGCCTTAAGCATTAAAAAAGTTTTCTCCTTGCTCCATATTTTTTCCCAGCACGTTTTTTTCCCTTGCTGTCTATTGTCCTTCTTTGTTTGTTTTGCTTTCTTCCTGCTTTGTTTTGATTCATAATAGCAGATTAAAGCAAGCAAATTATCATTGTTTAAGAAGTTTAAACCAACACATACTTCCCTCAACAGGTACATAGCATGTAAATGAATTCGAAGTCTCTCTTTAATGAATGGAAACACTGCAACATAGATCCAAATGAGTATCTCAAATAAAAGAAATAGCCCTTTTTTCTCTCTTTTTGTTTTTAGTAATTCAATGAGATACTTGTTGATCATCTTACCTAACTTCATAAGCATTTTCAGGAATAGCATAATGACGTAGTCAGCCACTGCATTATGTGATACAATGTTTGTTAGAATGATGGGGTTAATTTATAATAGAATGTGCCACCAGCAACTTTAAAGTTTAAGAAAAGAAAAACACATGACCTACCACAAACGAATGGGAGGATTATCCACATCAAAACCCATGGAGGAAAACTTTCTGCTCTCTCAAGTAATTTATCAGTCCCTTCAATATAAAAAGTGGTTTGCAGGAAGTTTGTTAGAGAAGAATTATAAATAATTTGACAACGTAAAGGAACATACAGATCAGTTAAGATAGAAAAACAACAAACCTGCATATCTTTCAAATACTTTGACTTTGCGTGCGAAATTTTGAGCTATAGACATCAGCACAGCATCACTATGCAATGATTTGTAATGCTCCAACATATCTCTTGCAAGGTCTACATATATTCAAAAGTCAGCCGTATCAATTAACTTGGAAGGTTTTTTACTGATGGAATTTGAGTCCAGTTGACACTTACGGAAATCTTTGGAGGAAATAGCAGTAACTAGAAGGCCATCACCAGTTGTGCCAGAAAACAGAGCATCCTTCTGAGCATCATCATTAGTATTATTGATGTGTTGGAGCAGATGTCGGGCTGTTTCTTTGTGCATATTAGAAAGAGCCAAGGCTAGTGGTGTCAGATCCTTGTTGTCTTTAGCGAACAACAACTCTGGGTTTCTTGCCACCAATATGCCAACAGCTTCTGTGTTGCCAGTAATAGCAGCAACATGAAGCAGCGTGCTTCCATCTGAATTTCTTAGATCCATGAGTTGTGTGTTCTCCAGTATCTTTTCCAACAATTTCTCTAGGAATTCCAGCTTCTTGGAACTACCGAATGCTACATGAAGCGCAGTGTTGCCATTATTCGTGATTTTGTCTATCACAGTAACCCTTCCCTCCCTCAATATTTCTTCGATCCACTGCAAAACTCCTTGTTGAGTAGAATGGCAGAATCTCCGGAGATCCAATGCTCTGTCTTTATCTTCTAGTGTATCTACATTTGCATAATTTTGTTATCAAGAGAAAAACTACGAGATACAAAATATGTGCACTTTTAAACATTTTAGAGGATGATGGAAAAAAAACCTTGTTAATTTGTATGTACACTTTTATACATTTTGTGTACTTTGTATTTTGTGTAAACAAGTGGTTGGTCGACTCAACTTTATAGCGACTATACAGTAAAAGAAATAGACATATTTTACTGTATAAGTAGTGGTATGCTTTACTTTATCTAAATCACCAACCCAAATAAACAAGAGATGGATTGTACCTTCAACAACATGCAGTTTTGGAACAACAACAGGAGCGAAAATAGTCTGCAGTTCATCCCAAACATCTTTTGCACTGAAATCATCTTGATGGAGTTTTCCTCTGATCAGACGATTCACAACCTGCCCGAGTGTTTCTTTAGAGAGGGAACCAAGAACCCAACCTTTCACTAGGGCATCTGATCTTCTCCACAGCTTCTGATGAGTCTGATGGTCATTTCTCTTTCCCGGAAACATTACTACTACTACTGGCTTCATCAGGGCTTACGAGTGTTCCATCTATGAAACCTGACACACTATGACTCTCTAACATGCATAGCATCTGTGTTTTCCAAATACCATACTCATCCCTATCACTCAGCTTAAAGGTAACAAAATTGGGAGCACAAACATGTGATGGGTATGGGTATGGGTTTTCTTCTCTAACTTCCAATGTGACATGTGGATTAGAGCTAGACTTTGAGTTTGCCATCTTTGTTTTTTTTTAAGTCCTCTTGCTTCCATCTCTTAGTTATTTAAATAGAAACATGGAGTGGATTTGTGGTGCCCACAAAAGCCACTTGAGGATTGAATCCTCCCCACGTAATTCCCTCTGATAGTAAAATTTCAAGCAAAGAATATTATAATTGGAAAAGTTATTTACTAAACAGTTTTATTTTATAACTTATTTATCAAAATTTAATACATACAAAAGAAATTAAAAAACAAGTGAAATCTATCTTTGCATATGCTTCCCTTCAATCACTAGTCTATTTTCTTAGTCCTTCTTACATTCATAGGCAAAGAGAATCATAACAAGAACTCTTTATATTGTAAGGAACATATTTTATTTTTTGGTTGACTTGAGTTCTTACAGATATATAAACTGCAAATAAGACCAGTCCCAAACTATTCTTAATTTCACATATTTTTTGAACCGACAACCTTAAGGGAAAATAACACGTGATATCATTGGGGTAAAGCGCTTTGGTCATTGTTGATTATTTAAATGGAAAAAATTAGACAAGATCAACCCAACATAACTAGTTCATTTTATATATGATAAAATTTAGATACATCCTTTCATCTACTTAAAAGAAATTACTATTCAAAAATAATATTGGCCACTTATTAGTTATATATTTCAAATATCATTTATTGGCATCTTTGTAAGTAACTGCATGTGCATTTTTTTATGGCATTTCCCTTTCACCATGTTACACACAAGGCTGGACAATCATCACAACACATACTCATACACCAAACTATATATAAGAACTTTTTCAGTATTAATCTATGGCTATACATTGATAGGAATCAGTCCTCTTTTAAAGAAAAAAAATTGATAAACCAAACTATACATAAGAACAGTTTCAGCAACAAACTTCTGGGATGAAACGGTAGTGCCAACATAACTTTTGGGTTAGTGATTTTAAGTTTTAAAATAGGAGAGAAGCATTAATTTCTTGTAATTAGACTTATCACCCTCCCTTCATGGACACTAATTCTTATGTGTTTTATATTTAAAAATAATCTTTAATTGTACATGGAGTACCATTAAAGTTTGGTTTATACCAACTTCATATCTTTTTTTTTCATTATCTGGTGTTCCAATAGAGTCATCATTGCAAACTACTAGCCTGGTGTAGATACAGCATCAGTACTTGCCTGCTGGTATAAATACTAACTCTTAACCTTTTTTTGTTTCCGTGAATATTCCTATCCTACCATCTTCTTACACATCTTAAAAAGAAAGATGTAGCTGATTTGTGGTGCCCACAAAATCCACTTAAAGATTGCATCCTGCCCAAGTTAACCCCACATTGTTCTAAAAGAAGTAATCCCCACACATAATAAAAGTTTCAATCAAAGAATATTTAATTACAAAAGTTACATACCAAATGATTTTACTATGAAATGCAGAAATGTGTTTATTAGATTACATATAAGTACCCGGAGCCTCATTTCATTATTACCAAATAAAATAAAAGAACAAGTGAACCCATCTTTGTATATGTGTTATCTGTATGTAGGTCAAGCTCTCACCACTTAGAAATTTCGAATAAAACCCAATATTGGTGTGTTGACACAGGTCAAAAAGAATTAAATCTTCATTTGGTTGACTGAAATTTTAATTTATTGTGGAGTTGTGAATGCATATTTAATCATATATGCAGTAGGAATATGCTTCAAGAAGATTAAGACCTGCATCGATGAAAAATATTTAACTCTGTTATATTCGTAAAAACCCCTGAATTATTTTCTGTCCTGGAAAAAGACACATAATTTTTCCTATTTTATCTATCCAAATTTACGGTAACAAGCCCCAACAACTGCTTTTTGAATTTTAGACAAACTTTAAACAATAATTAAGAAATAGCAATGTATTCTTAAAACAATAAGCAAAAAATAGCTACACAGTTTTAAACATCCAAGTAGCCGGTTTTTCTTGCTTAATGTTTTAAAGTTGGTTTAAAATTTCTGTTCAAAATGTACCTGCTGGGAAATAAGAACTTTATTTCCATCACACTCGGGACTCCTATGCATTTTAAAAAGAAAAGATTAATCAGGAACTTTTAGTTAGGACTTAGGTAACAAGATCATGTAATGCAATCACTCATTCCATCATGGAATGGAATGGAATAAAGATGTTGCCAACCAAACTGTAAGATTACTTAGGTTTGGAACTTGCTTCACTTATAAACAAAAAGGAAACAAGTATACAGCTAAAAGAAGAAAGAACAGAACAATAGAAAATTGCTTGAGTACTAAGCTTTTTCTAATTAAACGAGAATACAAAACTTTTTTTTTTTAAAATCTGAAACTTGTACCCTACTTATACTAGACATAACTGAATCCTAAACAAACACAAAAACTAAAACAACGTCTATATCAAGTTTCCTAAAATACCTTATTTAAACTAGATATAAAAAATCTTATAATAAGGAAAGTTTCCTATTAACCGATTAATCCAACAATCACCCCCTTAATCGGTTTGATCATGCCACTCGTTCAAAACACTCCCGGTTCCTCTTCGATTAGAACCGCTTCTTCATTTTCCCATTTATGACACTCATTTTTATAGTGACCAAGCTCACCACATGTAACATCTAACGTGACTTTTATCCCAGACACGTAAATTACCATCTCGACTTCCCGGACCCCCGACCTCTTCCCCGGTCACGTCCACAGTCATCCCGATATGAACGTCCATTGCCACAATGCTTACAAACATGTGATTTCTCCTCACTAGCCAACAATAATCCACCTTGAGTGTCCTCCACTTTCTCGGTTCCTCTTATAGGCTTCTCGTATGCCTTCAATCTACCAACCGCTTCATCGAATAACATTGAATCCAACTCGAAACATTGCTCTATTGAAGCCACGATTTGAAGAAACGACTTAGGTGTCGAATCAAGTAACCTTTTTCACCAAATCAACTTCTTCAAGCTCGTAACCAAGACTCCGTGCTTTTGAAGCTAAACCGGATAATTTTGTCACAAAATCATCGACCGTTTCACCCTCCTTCATGCACAAACTTTCAAGCTCTCTTTTTAACGTTGCAAATCGAGCCGTTTTCACCCGATCCAAACCCAAATACGGTGTTTTTAGCCCACCCCATACTTGCTTTCGGTCGGTGTAACTCACCATTTGCAACACCATGTCTTCGGGTATCGCTTGAAACAAAAAAGCAAGAGCTTGTTTTGACTTCTTTTGATCCGATGTTTCACCTAATGCATTCGGTTCGACCATCTCCCATATGCCGTGTGCATCCATAATTGATTTGAATTTGACCGCCCACAACGGATAATTCGTTGGAGTCAAAACCAGAACTTGATATGTCATCGAACCTCCTTCTTTAACCAACAACATCCTTTTCTCCTTAACCCCGGCCTCTTTAATCAAGATTTTTCTGAGAGCACTCTTCCACCAGACAACAAGACAATGTCACGACCATCTTTACCGTCTTTCGTCACCCGCAAAATGAACCGTATCAAAGCCACCCGCTTTTGACGTCTTCCCGTCGCTTTATTCCGCGCCTCCGGTTAGTCTCTCACAAGCCCGATTAAGAGAAACTGGGGTTGTTTGTTATCAACCTCGAATCACACCCCCTACAACGAAACCACTCTGATACCATGTGTAAGATTACTTAGGTTTGGAACTTGCTTTACTTATAAACAAAAAGCAAACAAGTATGCAGCTAAAAGAAGAAAGAACAGAACAATAGAAAATTGTTTGAGTACTAAGCTTTTTCTAATTAAACGAGAATACAAAACTTTTTTTTAAACATCTCAAACTTGTACCCTGTTTATGCTAGACATAATTGAACCCTAAACAAACACAAAACCTAAAACAACGTTCATATCAAGTTTCCGAAAATACCTTATTTAAACTAAATATAAAGAAATCTTATAATAAGGAAAGTTTCCTATTAACCGATTAATCCAACAGAAACAGTAACCTTGGAGTTGATTGCTTGATTTAAAAACAGGATTACAGGAACTTTCAGTTGATTACAAACAGAAACAAAATTACAAACAACATAAATTATGAAAACTCCCAACCAGAAAAGTTCTTGATGACCAAAACAGAAACGGGAACACCACTTAGTTATCGAAAGTTCAAAACAGAAACATAAAATATAAAAAACAGATTACAAATTGAAAAAGAGTAGGACAGATGAATAGAAATTGGATGATGATTGATGAAATTCGCCATGCATATGTGTGGTGTATATATGTACATGTTAATGCTCTGTCTCAGATAGAATAGAAATCGAGGTCGACACATTGCGTTTTTCCAAGGGTCGATATATTCCCTCCAATTACAAGTTCGGCTTTCAAACCGTGTATCAAATAGCTATCCGAACACAAAATTAGCGATCCCAAATACTGATTGATTATCAATTGGCCCTAACTGGACATCTATTTGGCGCGTTTGGAAAGTGATCCGATTCTCTTACCGATAGCAATTTGGCGCGCTTTGTAGTTCGTTTCAGTACGTATCGATCAGAACGGAAATCGTGAGCGATTTAGGTTGAATCGGTCATTATCTTGGAACGTCTTCAATTAGAGAGTCGATCTTTTGATTTCCAATCACTCATACGATTCAAAACCATTTCAATCTGTTCTAAATTCTAGGGTACAACATATGTTTATGAGCACATGCACACAGCACACCATTTGGAAGAAATAGCAAAGTACTTTTAAACCTTAAGCAAGAAATAGCAATGTTGTTTTATACCAATTTTGGATATATTTTAAAATAATTTTTATGATCATCTTCTCGACACCTTTTGGAAGAAAGAGCAACATACTTTTAAACATTATTATTTAATCCATTAATTTTATGCATTTTCTTTGGACAAAAATAGCAACATAGTTTTTTAAAAATACATCATTGGTCCTCAGGGATGTATTGTTATTGAGGATGAAGAACATTTTAACCAATAAGTATGTCACTCAGCTATAAAATGATCCTATTTTGTGCATACTTTTTGTTTATGAACATTCTTGTGGTAGTAGTGGTATGGTGATGGAAAGTGGAAATGGTACATGCAATTCCCAATTCTGAGAATAATTCTGATACGTAGTCACCCAATCAATATTTCTCCAGCCTAATACATCAAATAACTTAAATACTACAAATTCAAATGACTACATTTTTTACCACTTTTCACATCTATCTGGTCTGCCATTTTATAATCAAAGAAAAATAATTAATAAAAAGGATAGTCACTTTTCTTACCAAAAATACTACGGCCATATGTAGCACTAATCAAATCTATGACAAGAGGGAACTGTAGGGTAACAAAAGAGGTGATTGGTAGGCATGTCAAGACAGCTATTGGAATAAGAATCCTCGAGTTGCTTTGGCCAAATACAAGGTACAATGTTGCAGCAAAAGCTACTATCATGGCTGTGGTTGAGATGAACAAGGTCGCCAAACCAATTATCAACTTTGTAGGCAACTTAAAGAGAAAGTCTTGTTCAGCAAAACGTGCAGTGAGAATCGACAAAAAACATTAACAATGATGTAACAACTGCAAATAATGATATGGCATCTGATATTGCAAATACTGTGAAAGCGGTGTGATTGGTAAAAATTGGTATCCCCTTATTCTGATCGTTTCCTCCTGGCACTGTAATAGCTGCCGCAAACACAACGGTGATGATTAATGCAGCTGTAATCGTGTAGGACTCCGCAGTGGACTTCATCCATTTTTCTCCCTCAATCACCAACTCCTTGTGTTATCTACTAAATACCATTTGTGGTGTTTCATTGAAAGAGTTCTTTTGTATTACGCTTAGAGGACAGATGAATTTTTCCACTTCCTACAAGATTACAATATGTTTATATGTTAATTGTTACACATGCTTGATAAAACTTATGGCACGTCTTTTAATATGAGGTATGTCAATTTTGAATCATCGAGATTCATACCTTAAACCATTGCAGTTCACGTTGTATTTGTAAAGCTGCCGCCAATATAAGATTCAGTTTGTTGTTAGGTGCCAATCTTGCAGCTAGATGCAACAGGTTATTCCCATAAGAATCTCTAACTGTTCCATATATATATTCCTATGTTCACTCATCTGATAAAGGAGGTTGTAAACTTTTTCTGAGCGATTTATCACAGCATACTGAATAATGTTGTGACCGTCTTCGTTGGCACTCAAAATTGCATTTGGGAAGAGAAACACTATATATTCTACAAACGAATTTGCATTTTGTCTAGTGGCTTCAAGAATCGGATTTTTTGTAATAGTGATGGTAAGAGCTGGGGTGATTCTTTTCCTTTATCAAATCAGATGCCCTATACAACAGTCTCATAGCATCTTCATGAGTTTCAACTCTCTCTTTAATTGATAACCACACTGCAATATATATAGATCCAAATGAGTATCTCAAAATAAAGAAATAGATCTTTTTTTTCTCTCTTTTGTTTTATTGTAATACAGTGACGGTACTTGTTGATCATCTTACCTAACATCCCAGGGATAAACAGCAAAAGCATAAGGATGAGGTAAGTCACTGCATCAAGCGATGGGATGTTTGTTAGGATTAATAATAGAATGTGCAACCAACAAGTTAAAAGTTTAAGAAAAGATAAACTCATGACTTACCAAGAATGATTACGCTGATTATCAAACTATCAACCCATGGGGAAGATCTGTCAATTCTGTAAATGCAGGCTGCTCTTTCAAGTAATTGATCAGTCCATACAATATAAAAAGTGGTGTGCAGGAAGTTTGTTAGAGACGCGTTATAAAAAATGACAATGTAAAGGAACACGCAGATTAATTAAGATAAAAAAAAAGCAACAAACCTTTATATCTTTCAAACATATTGACTTGGCTTGGGAAATTTTGAGCTATAGCCATAAGCACAGCATCAGAATGCAATGTTGTGTAATGCTTCAATAGTTTTCTGGCAAAGCCTACACACACACATAGTCCAAAGTCAGATCTATCAATTAAGCGGATGGGTAGGTTTTTTACTAACCAGTAACACTTACGGAAATCTTTAGAGGAAATAACACTAACTAGAAGCTCATCACCAGTTTTGCCAGAAAACAGGGCATCCTTCTGTATGTCATCAGTATTATTGATATGTTGCAACAGATGTCGGGCTGTGTCGGTGTGCATATTAGAAAGAGCCAAGGCTAGTGGTGTCTGACCCTCGTTGTCCTCGGCCAACAACAACTCTGGGTTTCTTGCCACCAAGATGTCAGCAGCTTGGGTGTTGCCAATAATGGCTGCGACATGAAGCAGTGTGCTTCCATCTGAATTTCTCAGTTCCATTAATTGTGTGTTCTCGGGTATCCTTTCCAACAATTTCTCTAACAATTCCGGGTTCTTGGAAATACCGACTGCTACATGGAGCACGGTGTTGCCATTATTCGTGATTTTGTCTGTCACGGTAACCCTTCCATGACTCAAAATCCCTTCAACCACATCCCAATATTCTTCTTGAGCATATTTGTACAATCGTTGGAGATTCAATGCTCTGTCTTCTTCATCTTCACCTTGTAGTGTATCTATATATGCATACTTTTGTTATGAAGGTAAAAAAAGAAAAAGATAGATACAAAGTATGTGCTCTGATGGTGTAATCTAATCTCTAATCCAAATATTGGGGATTCTAAAGAAGGAAATTAAGTAAAAACAAAGAAAAAACCTTGTTCATGTACATGTTTATATGTTTTGTCATACTCTGTATCTCTTTTACCTTGTTTGTTTAAATAAATACTTGGTCGACTCAACTTTTTAGTGACTATATATACAGTAAAAGCTATACATATTTAATTTACTAGTAGTATGCTTGGGTATATCTAAAAGATAAACAAAAATAAACGATTGATTAGATTAGCAAACAAGAGATAGATTGTACGTACCTTCAACAACAGGAGGCAGTTGTGGAACAACAGCAGGAGGAGCATACATAGTCTGCAGTTCATCCCATACATCTTTTGCACTGAAATCTTCTGCTGCATTTCTATCTAAATGAAGTTTTTCTGTAAGACGATCCACAACATCCATGAGTGTTTGTTCCGAGAGGGAACCAAGAATCCAACCTTTCACAAGAGCATCTGATCTTGTCCACAGCCAAAGACTGTTATGGTCACACACTTTCTCCCTCCTGTAAACACTACTACTTGTTTGAGGGCTTACAAGTGTTCCATCAACGAATCCAAACATACCATGACTCTTTAAGAGACATAGCATCTGTGTTTTCCAAACACCGTATTTGTCCCTACCACTCAGCTTCACACTAATAAAGCCTGCTGCAGCAGGATTTGATGGATATGGGTATGTGTATTCTTCTCCAACATCCAATGTGACATGTTGATTAGAGCTTGAGCTTGAGCTTGCCATCTTTGTATGTTTTTTAATTTTTTCCTATCTTCAATCCTCCTGCTTCCATCTCTTAGATATTTAAATAGGAGACATGGAGTGGATTTGTGGTGCCCACAAATGCCACTTTAGGATTGTATCCTCCACAAGTATTCCCTTAAATATTAAAGATTCAAGCAAAGAATATTATAATTGCAAAAGTTATTTACAAGTGTTCCATCAACGAATCCAAACATACCATGACTCTTTAAGAGACATAGCATCTGTGTTTTCCAAACACCGTATTTGTCCCTACCACTCAGCTTCACACTAATAAAGCCTGCTGCAGCAGGATTTGATGGATATGGGTATGTGTATTCTTCTCCAACATCCAATGTGACATGTTGATTAGAGCTTGAGCTTGAGCTTGCCATCTTTGTATGTTTTTTAATTTTTTCCTATCTTCAATCCTCCTGCTTCCATCTCTTAGATATTTAAATAGGAGACATGGAGTGGATTTGTGGTGCCCACAAATGCCACTTTAGGATTGTATCCTCCACAAGTATTCCCTTAAATATTAAAGATTCAAGCAAAGAATATTATAATTGCAAAAGTTATTTACTAAACGATTTTACTATTAAATTTATTCATCAAAATGTAATGCAAGTATACCGTGAAGGTTATCTATTTATTACAAAATAAAAATAAAGAACAAGTGAAGTCCATCCCTTCCATTTTTGTCACCCGTCTGTGTTCTTAGTCCTTCATACAGTCATAGGCAAAGGGAATTATAACAAGAACTCTTTAATCTTTATAGAGTAAGGAACATATTTTATTGTTTAATTGGTTGACTCGAGTGAGTTCTTACTGATATATAAGGTACAGATAAGATCAGTCTTTGAAACAACAACTCTAATATAATCCTAAACTGCTCCTAATTGTAGCTATGTTCCAGACGAGATTTGAACACTCAACCTCAAAGGAAGACAACACCTGATACCACTGGGCTAGAAGCCCTGTGGTTTTTGTTGATTGTTTAAATGGACAAAATTAGACACTAGATCCACCCAAAAGAACTAGTTCATTTTAGATATAATAAAATTTAGATACATGTTTTTATCTACTTAGAAGAAATTACTATACAAATGTAATACACTAATACTGGGCGGTTATTAGTTATATATTTAAAATATCATTTGTTGGCATCTTTGTAAGTGACTACATTTTTATGGCATTTGGCCTTCCTTTCATCATGTTCGTATGTTACACAAGGCTGGACAATCTTCATAATACATACTCATACACCAAATTATGTGTATGAACTGTTTCAGTATTAATCTGTTGCTATAGATTGATAGGAATCAGTCCTCTCTTACAGAGAAAAACTATTTGATAACCAAACTATATAAGAACAGTTTCAGCAACAAACTTTTGGAATGAAACTGTAGTGCCAATATAAGTTTTGGGTTAGTAATTTTAAGTTTTATATAGGAGAGAAGCATGATTTTTTGTATTTAGACTTATCACTCTCCCTCCATGGACAGTAGTTCTTATGTGTTTTATATTTAAAAAATAAACTTTAATTGTACATGGAGTACAATTAAAGTTTAATTTATACCAACTTCATATCGTTTTTCTCATTATCTTGTGTTCATTGCAAGCTACTAGCCTGGTGTATATACAGCATCAATACTTGCTTGCTGGAGTAAATACTAACTCTTAACTTTTTTTGTTTCTCTCAATATTCCTACCATTTTCTCTTACATATCATAAATAGAAAGATGAGCTGATTTGTGGTGCCCACAAAAGCCACTTAAAGATTTCATCCTCCCCAAGTAATACCCACATCTGTTCTAAAAGAAGTAATTCCCTCATATAATAAAAATTTCAAGCAAAGAATAGTAATTACAAAAGTCACTTACCAAATGATTTTACTATGAAATGTATATACTAAAATGCATATAAGTACTGGGAGCCTCATTTTACTATTACAAAATAAAATAAAAGAACAAGTGAACTCATCTTTGTATATGCCTCTTCTGTTGGTCAAGCTCCGAAACTGACATTTGAATTATATAAATTTCAAATAAATCAATTTTGGTGTGTTTCATGTGTTGGGTAACGAGTCAAAAAGGGTAAAATCTTAATTTGCTTGACTGAAATTTAATTTATTGTGGAGTAGTGAGTACATATTTTATCATATATGTAGTAGTAATATGCTTCATGAAGATTAAGACCTGCATCAACGAATTAGAGGTGAACAATGCATGGCTTTCTGTGGACCTTTTGAAACCAATGCCAGTGCTAACGTAACAAGTTTGACACTTGAGTTCGTACAGTTAGATGACAAGAACCTAACCGAGTTGAATAAGTGCTTCCCTCTAAAAAATAATTAAAAAATAGCAATGTACCCTTAAAACAATAAGCAAGAAACAGGAACACACTTTTAAACATCCAAGTAGTTGGCTTTTTTTGCTTAGTGTTTGAAATTACATTGCTATTTCTTGCTTAATGCTTAAAAGTTGATTTAAAATTTCTCTTCAAAATGTATGTGTTAGGACTTGGGACTACTCTTAATACTAGTTAAGGCTTTTAATAACATTTTTTATAAGTATCTGTCTGTCCAAAAAAAAAAACACATTGGCAAGGCAGACAGTGGGGTCGGAGATCATCTCTCCGTTATAGGAAGAGGACCATTGGGGTCTGGGGCGAGGTTATGCCTGTGTAGCTCTCGATGGGGTGAGACTCGCGGGCATGGGCCGTTCGTTGGTATAGACTAGGTGAGACCCGTGGGCAAGGCCCACATGTTTATGGCAGTACAGGTGAGACCTGGTAGAGACCGGTTGGGTCAAGGTTTTGGATCTTGGTTTTAGTGGGATGTCTATGTGGTCAAGTGAGTGGCAAAGGGTTATGCATAGGATTGGGTAGCCTTATCAGTTGGACTCTCAGAAACCTGGTGGATGGACCAGGTGTGAGGTGATTTTTGGTTGAGAATCGTGTTGGAAGTTGATGGTATATATATATATATATATATATATATATATATATATATTATATATATATATGCTAGATCTTAACTTAGAAGGTTATGGATTTACAAATCTGTGTAACGGTTTATCAGTTGGAAGGTTCAGGGCCAAAACGAGATGTTTTCAGTTCGAATGGTAGAAAAGGCCCTTGTGATTATGCTTTGGAATGGTTTTACCTGTGAGTAGGTCTAGCAAGTTATAGGACTTCAGAATTAGAGAAGCAACGTATCGGTTCGACAATTAAGGAATCAGTGTCTTGTTCAACACTAGAATGTTTAACTCCCAGAGTGTCTCTTGCTTCTCATTGTGTTCCTAGATTCGTTAACTTCGGGATGAGTCTTTTACTTGAAGGATTATCTAAGCTTTCTATCAAATGCAAAGTTTCAGCAGCAAGGATCGACCAGTGATTCTGTTTTCAGTGGAAACAACAAGATAATCAGAGAATAGAAGTGTTATGATCAGTTGGATTACAAAGTGAAATTGTAATGTCAGTGTTTCGCCATGGGCTGTCTGTCAGGACCAGACAGGGTTTACAATTTCGATTTTCGGGCATAGTAGTAATGCTTATTCTTCAAGGGTAGTGGTAGAGGTGTCCTAGTTGTCCGGTGTGGCTGGGAGGTGGTAAGGAGTGATTTCGAGGACGAAATCTAATTTAAGTGGGGGAGAGTTTTAACATCTGTTTCCTTGGATGAATCGAGTTAGGTTTCGGAGGGTCAAAAGGTTGGATTTTGGAGAAAAAGGGGTCCTCATGACGTGAGGCATGGACGCTCACGAGGTGAGGAGGGACGCATGAAGATTCTATCCGGGAATGAGCTCAGGACGTGAGGATCGCTGCAGCCTAAGCCTACGAAGTTTTAGGGTTTCCCGCATATTTAAGCCTCCGTAACTCAGTTTTAGGGTTCATTTCTCATCCTCCACCTTCCTCTAGCTCATAAAACCCTAACCTAATCAATCTTTGTGATTTTGGATCAATTTTAGTGTTTTGGTGGCTAGAAGAAGAAGACGAGGTTCTAGAGTGTTGGTTCAACAAGGGCTTCATCATCATCATCATCTTGTGCACATTTTAGATCATTGTAAGTGTCGAAGATCCAATATTTATGAGCTCAAATTGCTAGATCTAAGTTCTAAGCTCCTTTTTGCATGTTTATGATGGATTGCATGCTTGGAATCCATAAAGTAATCGTTTAGGACATGCTTGGGCCATGCATGTCCATCAAGTAATCGTTTTTATTGGCCTTTAGAGCCCTTGTTAGCTTCTGGATGAAGTAGGATTGAAGGCTTAATGGATTAAGGACTTAAAGGTTGATTTTTTAGCCTCAGCCTGTTCTCACAACGTGAGAAGCGTCTTGATAGCTTCATTTTATTTACTTCTTTTTATAGTTTATTTTAGCATATTTCATTCGCATTTTAATTAATTTCCATGTATATTTTCCTTTTTGTTATTTTATGACCACTTTCGGGTACTTTCTAGTTTCGTGAGTATAAATGCAGATTTTAAGGAGACTAGCGGAGCGGGATCTTTTGGAAAGCGATTGGGCTTGAAGGGCAATGGGGATTTAGTGCTTGATGGCTATGGAGGATCGATGATTGGGAGTTTGTGGAAGCCTCGAGTGATTTGGAAAAGTCAAATTGTGCTCAAATTGAAGAGAACTTGAAGAAAAATGGGCTAGAAGTTGATTAGACTCGAACTGGGCTAATGGTCTAGCTGTGGGAGCCCAATACATGAAGGAGCCCAAAATACCCGTCAATGTCACGCGACCCGCGTAAGAAAGCCCGCGGCCCGCGTGAAATGAGCTGGATTGAATCCGGGTTTTGACTTGTTGACTCTATTATTGGATGCTTAGTAGGTATCTTTTGGTGGCTTTTTGAATCCGAAAAATGGTCTTTTTAGCTGGAAAGTGGGGATACTTTTCATGCCCATCCCTCAAATAATCATTCCTCTTACTATAAAAGAGAGGGAGGACAATGGAAGAGAACACACTTGACACTTGAACACTTACATACCTAGATACA